AATTCAATTTGGCTTTACAACCCTGGACCAACTCAGTTGCAAGGTGTCGTTCATATATGTAGGGTTACATAATTTCCATTTTCTGCAGCCGTCGTAGATGATGCTAGAGAAGAAACATGGTTAGCATTTGCCAATAACGACTGAATGTCTGAATGCGTGGCCGCACGGAGATCACCCACAGAATGTGGTTTGTTGAGAGATGCACGGGGGAGTGAGTGGATAGGTTTGGGGTGAAGTCTGGCTTTTAACGGAGAGGTTGTCCAAGGTGAGCTTGACTGGCAATCATGTGCCACCCGGTAGGCTGCGAGAGAGTGGGGAGGAGGGGAGGGGGGGAGGGAAGGGGGGGGAGGGGGGGGAGAAAGAGATGGGGGCATACGTTAGTGGGGGGGCGGGGGGTTGAGAGGGGTTAGTTATAGAGTGTTTTCTGCCTGTCCTGTTGGTGCAACCTTATGGCTTGCACTCGGCTTGTCGTCCTTGTTTGTGTGTGTGCATGCATGGCATGGAATGAATTGTGAGTCTATGTCATTGCTATCCAGTGCTTTTGTGTGTGTTTGAATGGTGTATCACAATGTGGTTTGTGTCGGTCAAGACATTAGCGAGTTTTTACAACTCGCATGTCAAGTCGTCGTTTGTGTGTCGCATGTGTTTTTTCTATTTTGTCGAGTGTGAAGTGTCCATCGTGTTGCAGGTGTGTGCAGCAAGCCCCCATCAACTCAAGAAGAATTTATCTTGCAGATCCAAGAACAAGAGCTCAAGATTTCAAGCCCAAGGGACGCGGATAAATATTAAATAGTGAAAATAGTAACGTTACTTCGTGTAGTGTTACATTTCACTTGGTGTAGCCCCTTGGAGGGTTGGTTTCGAGACTCTTCATGGTTGGGGACTCTGTGGTGGTGTACCACCAACCTGGACCTCGGCTCTTGGGGTATGAAGAGGCTGGGAACCACATCCCTCTCGAACTCTTCTTGCTAAGTTTTGTACTTCCAAGACTATAGTGGCTCCTATTCCTCCTGCCAGTCAAACCGCCATAGCGTCGTCAAAGCTTCATGGAAATTCATGATTCAACTTGCTGCTGATAGACGACAGCAACGCGCTCCAGATCCAACTTACAGATCATAGTTTGACTCAGCCAGCAGATCGTTATCAATATTTGAAGCCGTCTGACGGAAATCCGACTGTGCTCTCTATCTCTCATTATAGGCACATCTGAGCCTATTGTGACTATAACAAGTGGTATCAGAGCCCCTTGGAGCCGTCTCGACCATGCCTAGACCTGAGGAAGGGGGTGGCAGAGGTGCTGGAGGCAGAGAAGACGCCCAAGCACAAGGTCAACACCAAGATTCACCCGTTGCTCCGGTGCAACCTAGCCTTGGACCCTCTAGGGATGAGCCTAGAGTGTTTGGCCTTGACAAGTTCAACGGTGACAACTTTGCTGAGTGGTCCTTCAAGATGGAGAACATCTTTGACCACTATGATCTGCTAGAGGTGATGGAAGGAACGGAGAAGCGCCCCGAGAACGACCCGGAGAAGAGCCCGTGGGTGCGGAAGAGCGCACAAGGCTACCTTCTACTTGGGCAAGCGTTGGGGAGCAGCCAAATCCGTCACATCAAGCCTTTTCAGCGTGAACCAGCAAAGGGACCAAAGGCATGGGCTGCTCTCAAGGGTGTACACACTCCTGCAACAGCGGCGGTGGCTGTGGTTTTGGAGCGGCAAATGGCGGCACTTCGAATTGACGAAGGCGAACCGGTGGAGGAAGGAGTGCAGAAATTCTTCGACTTGTTGACACGGCTCGAAGGAGCTGACCTGAACTACAGTGACCTTCAAAAGAAGACCAAGCTGTTGGCCTTACTTCCGGACTCATGGTCCTCGCTCATCATCAACCTTAATCGAGATCTGCCCCGTCTCTCACTCGAAGATGTGAAGCGGGAAATCTTACAAGAAGATTTCCGCCGTCGCGAATTGGCGGGTCCCGATGGTGCCGGAGTTGCAAGCATGGGCCGTGGGCACGGCCGTGGAAGGGGCAGAGGGCGAGGAGGAAGATTTGGCAGCAGTAACTTCAATGGAGGCCGTGGTAATGGAGGATATGGCAGCAACAACAACAACAATGGCTACGGGCGTGGGCGCGGTCGATTTGATGGCGAATGCCACTTTTGCCACAAGACCGGCCACATGTGGAGAGATTGCTTCAGATTGCCTGATGGATGGACCCCTTCTCAAGGCCAAGAGGGCAGAGGAGCAAGGGGAGGAAGAAGCAGAGGTCATGGAGGCCGTGGTGGTCGTGGAAGCGAAGCGGCAAGCATGAAAGGTGGAGACTACGACAAGGACTCGAGTGAAGATCGATACCCGGGCCAATTCTTCTTTGTCTCCACGCAAGCGACAGCTGCAGCAGGAGGTGTGGAAGGCTTTGAGGAGCCAGCTACTGTGGGAAAGGTCACCCTTCACTCTCTGGACTTTTGGGTGATCGATAGCGGCGCCACCTACAGCATGACACCTCGTGCGGACTTGCTCACCGAACTCGAACCGTCGCCGGTCAAGCATGTTACATCGGCTTTGGGGCAGCGAGCAGAGGTGAAGGGCATGGGCAAGGCCATGTTCAAGGGTGCTGATGGGAAGATGGTGGGCCTCAAGAACGTGCTTTTGGTGCCCAACCTAGCAGCCAACCTGATTTCCGTTCGGCGTTTGCAAAAGGCCGGCATGGACACATCTTCCAAGGGATCCAAAACCTATACCGCAAGGCTTGGTGAGCGGAAGCTTTGGGACCTTCATGGGGACAGGGACATCTACAATGAGATGTGGCAAATCCCAGTGGTCCCCATGCCTAAAGAGAGGCAAGTGGCAGCAAGCGTCAGCACCAAGCGTGAAGCGGTTGGTGGCGGTGATCACGGAAAGCAAAGTGACACCAAGAGTGACTCGAAGGAGTGCAACCTTGGAGAGACCAGCAAGGCGTGTGAACCCAAGGAGAATGGTGCAGCAGCCAAAGGTGGTGGAAATGAGGAGGAGAAGGCTAAGATCAACAAAGCAGCAGCGGCGAAGGAGAAAGGAGAGAGCTTGTGGGGCACAATTGCGAGTGCCGCTTTCTCCAACCCGACTTCCGCTACGGGAGAGTGTGATTGGCTGACCTTGCATCGGCGAATGGGGCATGTGGCATTGCCCATTTTGCAGCAGATTGTTAAGCAAGAGATGGTCAGTGGGATACGTGTCAAGGGGGAGCCCAATGAGGTGCTTGGCTGTCCAACATGCATGCAAGCCAAGTTCACCCGCTACCCGTTCCATAGCTCGGAGACAACGGCGAAGGCACCACTTGATGAGGTGGTGATGGATGTGGTGGGCCCCTTGAAGCTTGGAGCTGCTGGAGCAGAGTACTTCCTCACCATTGTGGACGTCTACACTCGCATGACTTGGGTGTATGTACTGCCCAAGAAGAGTGACGTAGCTGAAACGGTGAAGACCGATTGGTTGCCGATGGTGGAGCGGCAACAAGACCGACTTGTGAAGGCGATTCGCACTGACCGTGGGGGAGAGTTCCTGAGCAAGGATTTCTCAACTTGGCTGAAGAAGCAGGGCATAAGGCACTCTCTTACCATGCCCTACTCTCCTGCAATGAACGGCATCGCCGAGAGTGCGAATCGGACACTCACGGAGACGGCTCGGGGACTTCTCATTGAAGCCGGTCTACCCAATTACTTTTGGCCGGATGCGGTGCGGCATGCTTGTGTGGCCAAGAACAGAGCCTTGACTCATGTGGGAGAAGACAAATGGGTGCCCTATGTGGAGTGGATTGGAAGGAAGCCGAAGGTGGATATGCTTCGGGTGTTCGGGTGCATGTGCATGGCACTTGTGCCTAAGAAACTTCGGCACAACAAGCTTGATGCCAAGGCAACATGGGCCGTGCACCTGGGCATGGCTCAAAACAGCAAGGGATGGCTTCTATGGGACCCATTTACCAAGAAGTTCCTGGTGAGTAGAGATTGCAAGTTCATGGAGAACTTACCGTACAAGGAGTGGAAGGCGGAGAACCAAGCGAATATTGGTGTGCGGCTTGGAGAGGTGAAGAGGACCGGCTTGGAGCATGTGGAGCTGCCCTTGGAGCTGAGTAGCAGCAGCACAATCACGAGGCAATCTCCCCAAATGAATGGGGATGAGGAGGAGGAGGAGGTGCAGCAAGGTAATGAGCGTGCACCGCCACTTCCGCCTCGTGCTACAAGTGCTCGCGGGAACCGACCGGACTTACCGCAAAGCCATGAGAGCATTCAAGTCCCTGCAGCAGAGGAGGAAGGAAGGGGGAGAAGGAGGACTCAGCCCCCCAATAGGTTGAGCTATGAACGGCTTGGAGGACCAGCCAACTCAACCTTGACCGGTTCGGCTCTCATGCTAGGTGATGATGCGGAAGATGAAAGCGAGGAGTGCGCCTTTGCCTTCTTCTCTCCGGTGGAGATGCCGGGGGAGCCTACAAATCCCAAGGAGGCTTGGGAGGGCCCCAATGGGAAGGAGTGGAAGAAGGCCTCAGATGAAGAAATGGGGAGCATCATCGAGAACGACACGTTTGACTTGGTGAACCTACCTCCGGGGCGTAAGGCGATTTCTTCCAAGTGGCTCTTCAAGCGCAAGACCGACGCCGACGGCAACATTGAGCGCTACAAGAGCAGACTTGTAGCCAAGGGGTACCAGCAGCAGGAGAAGAAGGACTACAATGAAGTGTATGCTCCTGTGGTGAAGGGTACAACCCTTCGAACTCTCTTCGCCGCGGCGGCCATCAAAGGATGGGTGGTGAAGCAAATGGACATTGTAACGGCCTTCCTCAACGGCGTTTTGGAGGAAGAGACCTACATGGAGCAGCCAGAGGGGTACAATGATGGGAGTGGCAGAGTGTGGAAGCTGAAGAAAGCACTCTATGGCCTCAAGCAAGCCCCTAGGTAATGGTACATCAAGCTGCGGGAAGTCTTGGAGGCGATCGGCTTCACTCCCTCAACGGCCGATCAATCCTTGTTCATGCTTGGCGAGGGGGAGCAGAGGAGCTTCATGGTGGTTTATGTGGATGACATCCTCATTTTCTCACCCTCCTCTGACCTTGTGAAGGAGGTGATGCTGAAGCTTCAAGACAAGTTCAAGTGCAAGACCCTTGGTGACGTCAACTACTACCTTGGGCTTCACATTGAGCGAGATGTGGAGAAGCGGTGGATGCGAGTGCATCAAAAGAAGTACTTGGAGGCTTTGGCTGCAAACTTTGGGAAGAGTGAAGGTCATGTGGCTACTCCTCTACCCTCGGGGTTCAAGTGTGTGAAAGGACCAGCGGAGGAAAGTGTTGGTGAAGAGGAGAGGCGGCGTTTTCACTCCTTGGTGGGCAGCCTCATGTATGCGGCCGTTCACACAAGGCCGGATGCAGCCTTTGCTACCGGGCAGCTGGCTAGGGTTGTCCAATGCCCTAATGAGGAGCAGGTAGCAGCTGGAGAGAGGGTGGCCAAGTACCTTGGCCAAACAGCAACTGTTGGACTGCAATACTCCGCGGCGGCACAAAGGCGTCAAAAGGGTGCGGATGGAGTCGAACCCGGGAGGCTCTTTCTCACCGCCTTCTCTGATGCATCTTGGGCATCAGAACCAGAGGACATGACAAGTGTGGGAGGCTTCATCTGCTGTGTTGGTGGAGGCCCAACAGCTTGGGAGAGCAAGAAACAAGTGGACCAAGCATTGAGCTCGGTGGAGTCCGAGTACATGGCACTCTTCCGTGCCATAAGAGAGGTTGTGTGGCAGCGGCGTTTGCTAGCTGAATTGGGGGAGGAGCAGCAAGGACCTACCCCACTCTACTGTGATAGCCAGGGTGCTATTGCATTGGCTAAGAACCCCGTTCTTCATGGCCTTACCAAGCACATGAAGGTGAAGTGGCATTGGGTGAGGAGCATGGTAACCGCGGGTGAAGTGGAGTTGCACTACGTGAAGACGACGGCGCAGCCTGCTGATATGATGACCAAGAGGCTGGTTGAGCAGCAGCATTGGAAGTGTTGCAAGCTTGATGGGATGGCTCTGAACTAAGGGGAGCAGATTCTAAGGCCAACAATCCAAGGGGGAGTTTGTTGGTGCAACCTTATGGCTTGCACTCGGCTTGTCGTCCTTGTTTGTGTGTGTGCATGCATGGCATGGAATGAATTGTGAGTCTATGTCATTGCTATCCAGTGCTTTTGTGTGTGTTTGAATGGTGTATCACAATGTGGTTTGTGTCGGTCAAGACATTAGCGAGTTTTTACAACTCGCATGTCAAGTCGTCGTTTGTGTGTCGCATGTGTTTTTTCTATTTTGTCGAGTGTGAAGTGTCCATCGTGTCGCAGGTGTGTGCAGCAAGCCCCCATCAACTCAAGAAGAATTTATCTTGCAGATCCAAGAACAAGAGCTCAAGATTTCAAGCCCAAGGGACGCGGATAAATATTAAATAGTGAAAATAGTAACGTTACTTCGTGTAGTGTTACATTTCACTTGGTGTAGCCCCTTGGAGGGTTGGTTTCGAGACTCTTCATGGTTGGGGACTCTGTGGTGGTGTACCACCAACCTGGACCTCGGCTCTTGGGGTATGAAGAGGCTGGGAACCACATCCCTCTCGAACTCTTCTTGCTAAGTTTTGTACTTCCAAGACTATAGTGGCTCCTATACCTCCTGCCAGTCAAACCGCCATAGCGTCGTCAAAGCTTCATGGAAATTCATGATTCAACTTGCTGCTGATAGACGACAGCAACGCGCTCCAGATCCAACTTACAGATTATAGTTTGACTCAGCCAGCAGATCGTTATCAATATTTGAAGCCGTCTGACGGAAATCCGACTGTGCTCTCTATCTCTCATTATAGGCACATCTGAGCCTATTGTGACTATAACATGTCCTGCCGGGATCCCGCTCACACTTACTGCCCTCTCCCCCTCCCTTGCTTCATGCCACTCCCCCTCCTCTGTCCTCATGCCTCTCCGCCTCCCCTGCCCTCATGCATCTCCCTCTCCACTGCCCTCATGCCTATCTGCCTCCCCTCTCCTCATGCCTCTTTCCCTCCCCATCTCCTCCAGCTGTCCCTGCCTCTCACGCCCTCACGCCTCTCCCACTCCTGCTCTCACTCCTACCCCCCTACCCTCTCTGCACTCCATCTTTCCCCACTCTCCTGCACTCATGCCACTCCCCCTCCCCTACCCTAACACCCTCTCCCCCTCCCATGCCCCCCACGCCTCTTCCTCCCCCGCCCTCACGCCTCTTCCCCTCCCCATCTCCTCCAGGCTGCACTCTCCCTTTCCCCACTCTCCTACTCGTACCCCTCTTTCCCTTCCCTTCTCTCACCTCTCGCTCCCTCCACGGCTCTTGCGCCTTCCCACATCCCCCCTTATCACGCACCTCATACCTCAATGCTCTCCCATCTCTCCCCCTCCCCTACTCTTACGCCTCTCCCCCTCCCCTGCACTCACGCCTGCTCTCATGCCTCACTCTCTCCCTGCTCTCATGCCTCACTCCCTCCCTGCTCTCGTGCCTCACTCCCTCCTTGCACTCATGCCTCACTCCCTCCCTGCTCTCACGCCTTCCCCCCTCCACTGCTCTTGTGCCCCTCTCCCTCGCTCCTCGCATCTCCCCCTAGCTACTATCTGTTGTCTTCCCCATCCCTGCGGCCTCGCTTTCTTCCCTGCTGCTGCGCCTTGACCCTTGATCTGTTTTCATTCAATGAGAAGGCAGGGGATTGCGGCGCGCGAAAAAGCGGGTAACACGTTACAACGTGGGAAAGAGGGAAGCGACCCGCAAGAGAAATCAGGAAGCGGTCCGCGAGGTGAAGCGAGCGAAGCAAAGCGAAGGGAAGCGAAGCTAAGCGAAGCGAAGCTAAGAGAAGCAAAGCGAAGTAAAGCGAAGCTAAGCAAAGCAAAGTGAAGCTAAGCGAAGCAAAGAGAAGCAAAGAGAAGGGAAGCAAAGAGAAGCAAAGCAAAGCTACGCGCAGCTATGCGAAGCGAAGCGAAGCTAAGCGAAGCTAAGTGAAGCTAAAGCAAAGTTAAGCGAAGCGAAGTGAAGCTAAGAGAAGCGAAGCGAAGTGAAGCTAAGAGAAGCGAAGCTAAGCGAAGCGAAGCGAAGCTAAGCGAAGCAAAGCAAAGTTAAGCAAAGCTAAGCGAAGCGAAGCTTAGCGAATCGAAGCGAAGCTAAGCGAAGCTAAGCGAAGAGAAGCGAAGCGAAGCTAAGCGAAGCGAAGCGGAGCTAAGCGAAGCTAAGAGAAGGGAAGCGAAGCTAAGCGAAGCAAGGCAAAGCTAAGCGAAGCTAAGGGAAGCGAAGAGAAGAGAAGGAAAGAGAAGCGAAGCAAAGCTAAGCGAAGCTAAGCGAAGTGTAGCGAAGCTAAGGGAAGCGAAGCAAAGCGAATCTAAGCGAAGCGAAGCGAAGCTAGGCGAAGCTAGGCGAAGCGAAGCAAAGAGAAGCAAAGAGAAGCGAAGCGAAGAGAAGCGAAGCTAAGAGAAGCAAAGCAAAGCTAAGCGCAGCTATGCGAAGCGAAGCGAAGCTAAGCAAAGCTAAGGGAAGCAAACCGAAGCTAAGGGAAGCGAAGCGAAGCTAAGCGAAGCTAAGCGAAGCGAAGAGAAGCGAAGCAAAGCGAAGCAAAGCTAAGTGAAGCAAAGCGAAGCGAATCGAAGCGAAGAGAAGCATAGTGAAGCGAAGCGAAGAGAAGCGAAGCTAAGAGAAGCACAGCGAAGCTAAGCGAAGCAAATCTAAGCTAAGCGAAGTGAAGCTAAGTGAAGCGAAGCAAATCGAATCTAAGCTAAGCGAAGCGAATCCAAGCGAACCTAAGCAAAGCGAAGCTAAGCGAAGCAAAGCGAAGCTAAGCAAAGTGAAGCGAAGCTAAGCAAAGCTAAGCGAAGCGAAGCGAAGAGAAGCATAGATAAGCGAAGCGAAAAGAAGCGAAGCTAAGAAAAGCAAAGCAAAGCTAAGCGCAGGTATGCGAAGCGAAGCGAAGCTAAGCAAAGCTTAGCAAAGCGAAGCGAAGCTAAGGGAAGCAAAGCGAAGCTAAGCGAAGCGAAGCCAAGCGAAGCTAGGCGAAGCGAAGCGAAGCCAAGCGAAGCTAGGCGAAGCGAAGCGAAGCCAAGCAAAGCTAGGCGAAGCGAAGCAAAGCCAAGCGAAGCTAGGCGAAGCGAAGTGAAGCTAGGCGAAGCTAAGCGAAGCAAAGCGAAGCTAACCAAAGCTAAGCGAAGCTAAGCAAATCTAAGCAAAGCTAAGCGAAACTAAGAGAAGCGAAGCAAAGCTAAGCGAAGTGAAGCGAAGCAAAGTGAAACGAAGCAAAGTTTAGCTAAGCTTAGCGAAGAGAAGCGAAGTGAAGCCAAGCGAAGCTAAACGAAGCGAAGCGAAGCAAAACGAAGCTAAGCGATGCCAAGCAAAGTGAAGCTAAGCGAAGCAAAGCGAAGTTAAGCGAAGCTAAGCGATGCTAAGCAAAGGGAAGCGAAGAGAAGCAAGCGAAGCCAAGCGAAGCTAAGCGAAGCTAAGAGAAGCAAAGCCAAGCGAAGGTAAACGAAGCTAAGCGAAGCGAAGCGAAGCTAAGCGAAGCTAAGCAAAGCGAAGCTAAGCGATGCTAAGCGAAGCGAAGCGAAGAGAAGCGAAGCGAGGCAAACCGAAGCTAAGCGAAGCGTAGCTAAGCGAAGCTAAGAGAAGCGAAGCGAAGCAAAGCGAAGGGAAGCGAAGCTAAGCGAAGCGAAGCAAAGAGAAGCATAGAGAAGCGAAGCGAAAAGAAGCGAAGCTAAGAAAAGCAAAGCAAAGCTAAGCACAGGTATGCGAAGCGAAGCGAAGCTAAGCGAAGTGAAGCGAAGCTAAGGGAAGCGAACCGAAGCTAAGGGAAGCGAAGCGAAGACAAGCGAAGCTAAGCGAAGCTAGGCGACGCGAAGTGAAGCTAGGCGAAGCTAAGCGAAGCAAAGCAAAGCTAAGCGAAGCTAGGCTAAGCTAAGCGAAGCGAAGCGAAGCTAAGCGAATCAAAGCGAAGATAAGCGAAGCGAAGCTAAGCGAAACTAAGCGAAGCTAAGCGATGCAAAGTGAAACAAAGCAAAGCTTTGCTAAGCTTAGCTAAGCTTAGCGAAGCGAAGCAAAGCTAAGGGAAGCGAACCGAAGCTAAGGGAAGTGAAGCGAAGCTAAGCGAAGCTAGGCGAAGCGAAGTGAAGCTAGGCGAAGCTAAGCGAAGCTAAGCGAAGCGAAGCGAAGCTAAGCGAATCTAAGCGAAGCAAAGTGAAACGAAGCAAAGCTTAGCAAGGCGAAGCGAAGTAAAGCTAAGCGAAGCTAGGCGAAGCTAAGCAAAGGGAAGCGAAGCTAAGAGAAGCTAAGCGAAGCTAAGCGAGGCAAAGCGAAGCTAAGCGAAGCGAAGCGAGGCTAAGCAAAGCGAACAGGAAGCTAAGCGAAGCGAAGCAAAGCTAATCGAAGCGAAGCTAATCGAAGCGAAGGTGAAGCTCTGCGAAGCTAAGCGAAGCGAAGCGAAGCTAAGCGAAGCGAAGTGAAGAGAAGCTAAGCGAAGCGAACACGAAGCTAAGCAAAGCTAATCGAAGCGAAGCCAAGCGAAGCTAAGCGAAGCGAACACAAAGCTAAGCGAAACTAAAAGAAGCGAAGAGAAGCGAAGCGAAGCTAAGCAAAGCGAACCGAAGCTAAGCAAAGCTAAGAGAAGCGAAGCGAAGCTAAGCGAAGTGAAGTGAAGCTAAGCGAAGCTAAGGGAATCGAAGTGAAGCTAAGCAAAGTTATGCGAAGCGAAGCGAAGCTAAGCGAAGCTAAGCGAAGCTAAGCGAGTCTAAGCAAAGCGAACAGGAAGCTAAGCGAAGCGAAGCGAAGCTAATCGAAGCAAAGCTAATCGAAGCAAAGATGAAGCTAAGCGAAGCGAAGCGAAGCTAAGCGATGCAAAGCGAAGCGAAGCGAAGCTAAGCGAAGCGAAGTGAAGAGAAGCTAAGCGAAGCGAACACGAAGCTAAGTGAAGCTAATCAAAGCGAAGCGAAGCGAAGCGAAGCGAAGCTAAGCGAAGCGAACACAAAGCTAAGCGAAACGAAAAGAAGCGAAGAGAAGCGAAGCGAAGCTAAGCAAAGCGAACTGAAGCTATGCGAAGCCAAGAGAAGCGAAGCGAAGCGAAGCGAAGCTAAGCGAAGTGAAGTGAAGCTAAGCGAAGTTATGTGATTCGAAGCGAAGCTAAGCAAAGCTAAGCGAAGCTAAGCGAAGCTAAGCGAAGCGAAGCTAATCGAAGCGAAGCTGAGCGAAGGTAAGCAAAGCTAAGCGAAGTGAAGCAAAGAGAAGCAAAGAGAAGCAAATCGAAGAGAAGCGAAACGTAAAGAATCAAAGCAAAGTTAAGCGCAGCTATGCGAAGCGAAGCAAAGCTAAGCGAAGCTAAGCGAATCTAAGGGAAGCGAACCGAAGCTAAGGGAAGCGAAGTGAAGAGAAGCAAAGAGAAGCGAAGCGAAGCTAAGTGAAGCTAAGCGAAGCAAAGAAAAGCATAGAGAAGCGAAGCGAAGCTAAGAGAATCAAAGCGAAGCTAAGCGTAGGTATGCAAAGCGAAGCGAAGCTAAGCAAGCTAAGCGAAGCTAAGGGAAGCGAACCGAAGCTAAGGGAAGCGAAGCGAAGCTAAGCGAAGCTAAGCGAAGCGAAGCAAAGCAAAGTGAAATGAAGCAAAGCTAAGCGCAGCGAAGCGAAACAAAGCAAAGCGAAGCG